GACTTCCTATTAGTCGATTGATGACCACCTCCCAATATATAATATGGGAAACTAACCTGTCCCTGGAAACACTGGGCATACACATTTTAAGATATATCTTGTTTCACCGCCCAACACCGGAGTTTTACAAAGGATTCCAGAGCAGGAGCCAACAACGACATTTCCGTTGATGGTTAAAACAGGGTGGCCTTCGTTTCATAACAAAAATGGCAATGCATCTCTGTGTTCCTGATTGAGCTTCCCCATTGGACGCTGGTAGTACTTTGCCGACAATAAATACAACTGATATGGCATACAATTGACCATGCTCCCAGCTTGATAAATCCGAGTGGCTCAGGAATGTTCAGCAATATGGAATGGCATTCAATGTGGTGCCCCCAGTTTTGCTTGTGGCTTTAGGAAAAAACCCATTAACTAGTTCGATATAGCTGCCTTAAACCCAACAGTCAACCTAGTTTACTTGCACCAAATTAACATAGAAACTAAAATTCGAACCAAGAAATGACCGAGTGTCAGCGTTGTGTTGCCGGCACCAAGTTTCTTTCATGGAAGTGAACTTCCTCGATGAGTGCTGCGACGCACTGAACTTCCTCGATGAGTGCTGCGACGCGTAGTCGCAGAGAATTAGGCATTTGTCCGACAACGACAGCCCATGCTGTTTTCTGCGCTGGCAAAGTTCCCCTTCCAAAAAGGACAGGAAGGACAGCATGGTCTCGCTCGACCATATGTGCGTTCTTCTGGTGCAGCTCACCAACGTAAAGCCACTTGCTGAGTTCCTAACAAGAAAACACAGCCGTGAACTGCGGACTGCTATTTTTTTGATGATGATGATGATGATGATGATGATGACGATGATGATGATGATGATGATGATGGTGCTGATGATGATGATGATGGTGGTGATGATGATGGTGATGATGATGATGATGGTGATGATATACCATAATACATGGGTCATTAAATGTCCCCATTGAACATCACCCAACCATTAGGTATATGGTCTATAATGGCTACTATAAGGTGATGTCCAATATTCCCAAAATGGGACATTTACCAACCCCTGCATAACCCCGAGTTATACTACTTACACACCAACTTAGCTAACTTTTCCGCGGCCACACGTTGTAGGAATAGGAACAGTTGGGACATCTTGCTGTACCCTGACGAACGTCCACGAAAGATTGTCACGATGGCTGGGATGGTCTGCCTTTTTTGGTTAAAAGGCGACTTTACCCGACAGATTTAAATAACAATATTATCAACAAGAATAAGAGCAATAATAATAATCATCACCATCATCATCATCATCACATCATCATCACATCATCATCATCATCATCATCATATTCATCATAAAAATAATGATCATCATCAATAATCAAGATCACCGGCTTTAGCTTCCCTCAACTGACCTGCAATGGGCAAATGATCATGTCTGTTCAAGTGCAAATAAGCCAAGCTTGGGTGTGGGATACGGGATACCCCAAAAACAATGGTTTCCCATTGCAAGAGGACCTATAACTTGATGATTCTGTGGGTTAATTTTCGAGGAATTGCGCCTGGGAAATTTGGTGAACTGGTTGGTGGTGCAATAAGCATCTTGAAAAGTATGAACGTCGATGGGAAGGATTATCCCATGTTTGAAACCACCAACCAGTGAATAAGTGGATAATTCCACGTCCTAGAGAGCAATGAGATGATTGATATTCATGTAGTATTAGGTCCGGTGGTGAGATTTGTATAGCTAATTGACCCACAATCTTGTGGTTTCAAGATTTCGAACAAATGGCGAGACCTAAAACAAGGAGCCAAATACAATGCCAAACAAGCACAATGTCACTTGAAGGGATCAAAGACTTAAATACTATGGATACTAGCCTGAAACCCCCAAGAATAACTGGGAATTGCCTTTTAGATTCCCTTAAAGTGCAATGGAACATTTAATATGTGCCTTAGACTTAGCAACCCAGGATAACATGGTCAATCTTTGGTAGCCCAAAAGAAATGAGTATTTTGCTATGGTTATGTTCCATGTATAGCAAACCATTAAAGGATTAAACAACCTATCCAGTTGCTTGGGGATGTTTATCCATCACTATTACAGTAGTTACTGTTAATCGCTAATCACTATTAATCACTATTAATCACTATTAGTGACTATTTATATTGATTGATCACTATTTGGTGTGATGTTACTACCCTCTGGTAAACTAACATAACTATGGAAAATCACCATTTTTCATGGGAAAATCCACTATTTCTATGGCCATTTTCAATAGCTATTTTGCCATAACCGGAGGGTCTATTTACCTATCCAAAGTAGCAGATGACAATGCCATCCCAGTCGCGAATTTTGCTGTCCGGATTGTCATACCTCAAGACGCTCAAGACGTGACTGGATGAGCGCCGGGGGCTGGCTGTGCTAAACAGCCACTGTTCAAAAGCCCAAAGATATTTTCATACTGACTCTCCGGCAATTTTTCACGTTGCTGTCAGGAAATCCCTTTGAAATGAAGATTTTGGAGAAATCATCCATAAATGTGTAATTGTCCATTGCCATGTTTGATTACCGGCTGGTAATTTATAATTTGACCCAGACTTTAGCCATAAAATATCATACAATGCTGTAAAGTCTGCAAAGTACAAGGCCACAACGTTGAGTGAAAATCCCGTTGCTTTCTATGGGTAAATTGAGTGGGTGCAAACGCACTTGGCACAACTCCATATCCCATGTGTTAGTCTTGTACTGTGAGCCATGAAGAATGCCCATCCCTCTATCCTGGTTGGTTAGTCAATATTCCGGTTATGGCTTGGACTAATTCCATCAAACCAGGTAAGTTAGTAAGTCCGACAGTACCCAAAGAGATGCCGAAAGTTGTGTGTCCAGGATGGTAGTTCGATGATGTTTTCCCCACATTTTTTAGCTTTCCAACTGTTCTATGTTTTTGAAGGTTGCTATATTATATAGGAATAAATCAACAGTTGGATATGTTTAACGGCTCAATTTCTGTTGGTGATATTCATGATGGGCAACTCACCTGTGGATCTGTGGGTTGCTTTTCCAGGGATACGTCTGGAGGCGTCGACCAACACAATGGGGAAAAAGAAAGTGGTACCAAAGACCAACTCGAATGTGGGTCCAAACATGTGTGGTTCCCTCTGGTAATTTAACATAGCTATGGAAAGTGGCCCATTTATAGTTATAGTTGACTTACCAATTCAAAATGATGATTTTCCATAGTTATGTTAGTTTACCGGAGGGTATCTCCAACCAACTCAATTTCAATGACAAAGATGAGAAAAAAATCCATTTGAATCCGGAATGAGGGATCATGTTCCGCCATTTTCTAAACGACCACAGACCACGGAGAGTGAACGACGGATATAGGCCCAAAATCCCATTCCCCCATTTTTTAGGTCCCAACTATGTAGAAATTCCCTACATCCACCATGGTTTCTAGACTTCAAAATCACCAAAATATTTTGCAGGATGGGGCCCCTAGACAGGTAAGTTGGTGCATAACTGGACTAACTCGGATTTATTGATACTTATTGTGGATATAGCTACAGTTGGATGTGTTCATAAACTAATTCAGAAGTGGAAGGTCCCATCTTACACGAACCGAACCTATCCTACAATCAAGGTCAAATGTGTGATTAGTGGAATATGCATGTCCCCTCTTATTGCTGAAACCCGTTCACCAAGCTGATACAAAGATTTCTCCCAAACCAATCCCCTTCAAGGGTGGCCCCTCAACAACATATTCCACCATGTGAATTTGCTCAAGGGTATCAAAAAAAAAACGACGCAGCCTACACATGCCCCAAATCATGGATTTCCCCTTGGGGAAAAACAAGGAAAATCAACATGAAGAAACCCAGGACGAACTTTTGGGCAAATCAACTCGTCTTTTGGGGGTCCAGTGTGTGAGCGCCTCAACCCCGGTTGATGATGATCGTTTGGGATCTAACAATCATTTATGTGAAGGGAAAAGACCATGGTTGAACTATCAACCATATGGAATTGCAACTTGTTATTTAAGCATCATTTTAAGATATGTTGAAAGTCCGCATGTTGTGGTACATGTCGTGTGGCAAAAAAAAGGTCAAACCCCGCCCTTCTGTTCACACCAATCTAGCTTAAACACATTTGTTTTTTTGCATCCCAATTTACCAACCTGCCAGTTCCTGCCCCCATTAGAAAACGCCAGCCCCAGGTGCTCAGTGAAGAAGAGGAGATGAGCGCCCAAGAACCAGAAGAACAAACTCACTGCACCTCAATTCTACGTTTTTTGCCATGGGATGATCCCCAAATGTAACTGGGATATACCATGGTTATAACCCTAGTAACCCAATAAGTGTTCAATAACCACACAATGTGAGGCCCCCAAGATAGCTAAGTTGGTTTATAAGTCTAATTTCACTATGGTTTATGGCATTTATAACTATAGTTACTGGGGCTTTTGTTAACCAACTTAGCTATCTTGGGGGCCTCACATTGTACCCTCTGGTAATTTGTTACATAACTATTGAAAATCACCATGCTATTAATGGGTAAATCAACTATTTCGACTGGGCCATTTTCAATACTCATAGTTATAATCCATTTATCATAGAATTGGATGATGGGAAATTTTACAGGAAAACCCTATATTTGATGGTAAAAACCATGGTTTCCTGTAGATTTTCCTTTAAACCAATCCATTGAATTTATAAATGGGATCCAGGAAATGGGGGCTTACTAATACTAACCACAGCTATTCAGAAGGCTTACTGGCAGATGATCTCCCAAAAGTCACATAAACGTGTCACGTGCCAGAGGCGAAAGTTACGTGAAATCGCCATTGAGGTTGGTAAAAAATCACCAGGAAACTGCTTGGTGAAATCACCCTTTTTAAATGATTAAGTCCCCCAAAATAAGTGCTCAAGCATTTTTTTCTTTGAAAACAACTATTTTCTGGCTTAATCCCCCATTTGAGCTATTGAAAATACCCCGTTTTCCACACTCAAGCCATCTTTTCCCAAGTGCCACAAGTGCCATGATGTCTTGCAGCGAATTAGTTTCGATGACCAAAGAACTTCCAGCCCCACCAGGAGGACTTGGGGTGTTTCTTGTAGAAAAAACTGTATTCCAACAAGCGCCGCAACATGTTCCGACCACATTGGCCACATCTGGCGCTGTCCACTTGAAAGGCGTCTCCATCAAAACGCGGGGCAGGTTTCAGGATCTTGGGATGATGTACAAAGTTCACCACGGCTGGAAGATTTTTTGCATGAGGAAGGCCCCAGGTGTAAGTCCTCCAAACTAGGACTGGAAGGTCACATTGAAACATCAGGTTAAAAAAATAGAACATTAAGGAAAACATCTCCAATAACCTTTTATCGCCATCCTGAAATAGGTCCAATGTCTCTAGCTTTGGGTCGGCGATTTCATGGGGATCAAGTGATGGGATACGCTGTTGATTGCAATTCTAATTCGGAAAATGATGAGAGACCATTGGATCAAAATTGGATCAAAATAGGGTGCCCTATTTTCAGACAAACCCGCATGAGCATACTGGATGGCTGACTATTTTTGGGTCAACCCTAAGCTTTGATGCTTCGACCTATTGCTTATCATCCGCATCTTTGTTGATGAACATTCCTTCCTTGGGTCGTCACAATTTGATTTGTCGACAATCCCCACTTTTCTGTGATTGACACCCCACTTCTATTGGTTGACATGTTAACTTCCCTAGTTTATATTGGCTGCAACAGGGGGGCTGCAACATGCCCCTTCCCAGTTCATGGATTGTGATACTCCCCGTTATGTATATATATACACATACATATACATATACGTATACATGTACATATATATATATATATATACATACACATATATACATATACATATACATATAGATATATACACAGTGTATGTATATAGTTTTTATTACTTGTTACTATTGAAATTATTATCATCGTTATTAGTATTATATATGTTAAAGGTAGCATATTCTCCATCTATCGCGGGGTTCTTTTGTCCACTGCCCTGAAAATGTTCGCCACCCGGTATTGTGCCATCCTTTGCTCGTCGAGGTCACAAGGCTGCAGCTGAGGATGCGACTGAACCCAGTGTTCAGTGGACACTCGACCCAGACCCTGGCACCCATCCTGGGAGGAGAAAACCCCCAGAGGTGATGACCGGTCAAAAATCGTTTGTTTTTGGGATCAGAAAAATCACTTGTGCATGACAGGGTTTCTTTAGGGACTAAGGAACCAAAAATAAGTAAATAAATAGTAAATATATATATATATACATATAGAGAGAGAGAGAGAACAAATCCCCTGCGACTTCTGGATCACCCATCCCTACAGAAACGATGATAAAAACATATTAGATGAAAATCAGTGGGTAAAACCGGCTTTCATGACCAGCATTTTTTGCAATCCCAAGCATCGATTGTGGGGCATTGCAGATCAACAGGACCCACTTCCTTCTGAAAGTTGTTTGTGGCAGTCTCAAAATCCTGACGTGACCAGAATAAAAGAGGGTCACAAGTCACAAACGCAGTGAACGAAAAGCACACACCGCTTTGCATTTGACCCAGCAAACTTGAAGTTGACGAAATTGATTAACAGGTTTGAAGAAATTGCACACCAAAAAAGTATGGAAGATAACCAACCAAAATGGTGGGGCAACTCTACCGTGGAATGTAGCAAGCGCGGATATGAACCGGCCTTGGGATCCATCAATTCTGAAATGTAGCCGCAGCGGGCCGCCCACATGTTCCCAGGGCTATGCGGATAGGGAACTGGAGACATTCTGGAGGAGCACATGTTACAGTACTCGGGCATCAAACGACATTCCTGCGACAAAGCTCCGGCGGTCACATAGTCTCGCCACTGGTCTTGGAATTCATGAGGATGGTAGGATCCCTTGGAATGCACGTAGACAACCACCTGAAAAACAGGGAAGTCGAACACACAAAAGTGCCATTGAAATGCTGGAAAAAATGGGTCCACATTCCAAATGTCTTTGCCATACTATGCCCTGCCTGGGAGGGAAGCACGTCGTGCCTTCTGCAGTAGGACCAAACATCATGAAGTGTGAGTGTCTCTTGACCTTCCATATAATGAACAAATCTCGTTCTCTGTGCCAGCAAAGGATCAAGAGCCAATTGGGAGACATCTGTGATAGCACCAATTGAATTAATTGAAAGATCATAGTGCTTCGGGTCCACAAGTGCCAGCTGCCCCCGAGCGATCTTCGCAATCCGCGGGACTTGGAAAATGTTCTCAGCAAACAAATTGTAGAAAACCATCGCTTTCGGCGGCACCAGATCCACCTTGGACTGCAACAAGCTCCTGGAACTGCTGAGTTCGGCTTCACATGAGACCTCAGTGAGCTCGACAGCGACGGTCACGACGGTCACGGCGACGGAGATCACAACATGGAAGGATGACAGCATGGAAGCTGCAGCCGAAGAACGGTAGTTGGGAAAAGTGAAGCGCCACAACTTGAGCCGATGCCATGCCGGTGAGCAAAAAGGTGAGATTTCTAAAGAATCTCAGCAGTGGGGTAGTTGAATCCCAGTGTTGAAACCAGCATCATTTGGGTTTTCAAGGCTAATCATCATGAAATCATGGTCTGATTCTTGTTCAGTAGGGAAACCAGTTTGGGATCATTTTTGGACGCGCCTACTTTTGGAGTCTCCTTTGGATTCCTCATATCCGTCCCATACTTTGTTGGTTACACCCCTAAACTTCCAACAAAGAACACTGATGGTGTACCATCTTGTTATACTGGTTGGTTGAAAACGGTGTCCCAATCCTATTGGTTCTCACAATCCCCAATAATTCTTTGAAGGATAACTCCCAATATTAAGCTATCAATCAAGGTATCTTTAATCGCTCATGTAGCTGCAGTATATTCACCCGCAGCGAAAAAGACTCGCTGCGCGCACCTGTGGTGATCAGCTGCTTTCGACAGGTGTAGAGGGCATCGGCAGCTGCAGAGAAAGGATGATCTAGCCTGGGATCAATGACCTTGAAGATTGGGATATGAAACTCCTGAAAGTTTACATCGAGATTATATGATAGATATATACATAAAACATATTATATATATATAAATATAGATACAAATATATTACTGTATTTATTATTATCTGTATAAAGGTTTCCGAAAATAGGGGTATGTACCCCTAAATCATCCATTTAGATTGGATTTTCCATGAAATAAACCATCCAGCTATTGGGATGCCCCCATTTCAGGAACCTCCATATTTCTTGACAAAGAACATACCCTCTGGTAAACATACAAAAAACTATTGAAAATGGCCCAGTCGAAATAGTTGATTTACCCATTTTCATAGCATGGTGATTTTCAATAGTTATGTAACAAATTACCAAGAGGGTACAATGTGAGGCCCCCGTTAGATAGCTAAGTTGGTGAACATAAGTCCAATTTCACTATGGTAAAAATGGCATTTAGAACGAACTAGTTACTGGGGCTTTTGTTAACCAACTTAGCTATCTAACGGGGGCCTCACATTGTATGTATGAACAAGTGCTGGATTCACTATGTTTATTGATTCATCCCAGCAGGATCGGAATGAATTCCCCATGGTAAAAACGAAGGTCATATGCTGCCACTGGTCATATGCTGGTTAATATATGGTTATTACATGGTTAATAATGGTTTATAATGGTATTATAATGGTTAACTGGTTGGTGGTGCAAATGTGCCCATCTTGAAAAATGATGGAGTGAAAGTCAATGGGAAGGATGACATTGCTTTTTTATGAAATGGAAAATTAAAAAAAATGTTTGAAACCACCAACCGGTATGGGTTATTGTCAGGAAGCAGCCGAATTGGAGGTTTCCTAAAAGGCATGCTGCTACCCCAATAGCTCGTTGGATGGTTTACTTCATTGGAAAATCCCAATCTAAAATAGATGATAACTGGGGCTACCGCATTTTTTATTAACTCCCCTTTTTTGTGTTCATCTTGAAAGTTGGATGGGGATTGTTCAATCATGGTCTGCATCTGTTTTCTGTACAAGGTGAGGCCCCCAAGTTTGCAACGTTCGTTTGTATCCAGGTTAACTCGTGGGGAGCCCCCGAGTTATAAGTTGTTTATGAACTCCATTAACTATACATCATGGTTAGTGGAGTTAAGAACCAACTTCCACATTGTAGGGGATTTCCGATTGCCACGTTTGATTACCGGAGGGTAAGTATATAAAACATGTATGTATATTATATATATATATATATTTATGTCTCATCACCTGCTCGAGGCATCCCTAACTCATCAAGAAACAAATTGTAATGTGATGAATAACTATTAGTAATCAACTGGTATGAACTACTAATTGAAACAATTACTCAATAGTTAGTAATTACTAATTAAAACAAACAATTACTCAATAGTTAGTAATTACAAATTGATATGACAAATATGTGAATCATCAGTAGTTATTCAAGAACCAGTATGAATTAGTAACATATGATTGTAGTAACCAACATTCAACAGGTAACATATGTGATGAACTCATATACTATGAACATACTGATATGAGAATTACAAATGAGCAATTTAGTAAGATTCAAAACCAGAAGTAGAATACGAACGAAATAGAAAAAGTAAAATTGATATACAATCATTAAGTGTAAAAGATAAAATTGGGAAATTCTCATAGATGACTTACATATTACATATTGAACATCAACATAGAAATGGCCCATTGCCAGTTTACCGGTATTTCGATATGAGTCCTATCGCCATTGCCGGTCCTCGACAGGCTCCCTACTGGCCCTACTGTGCTTCGCCATCTGTGCGAGGCGTTTTGCAGACAAGATCTTGTGTAATGTCAACCCAGGATTAAACCCCGTTTACGGCTGTTTAATTAGGAGGGTACCATTTATATAAGTATTAGATGAAATGACTATTGGAGGAGTACCCCCCTAATTAATAAACCATGGTTTATTAATCCGGGGTTGACATTATGGTTTTTCCGGGCCATGGCTGAAAATTGGTTTGTGAAAAATTGCCAAAGGGTATTAGAATAATGGACCGATATGTCAATTATCCATATTCATCCGTAGCTTTGTTGGTTAGATTCCATAGATTTGACCATTATCAACAATTACTTGCCATAGGAATCGTCCATTATTTTGTCATTCTTATACCATTAATATTCCATTGTATCCACATTAAATGGTCAACCACTGGTAGTCCACTAACGATTAATATTGTCCAATGGCTATTTTCCATTTATAGCAACAAAAATAAAGGATGAAGCTACCTATCCAGTTGCTTGGGGATGTTTATCCATCACTATTACAGTAGTTACTGTTAATCACTAATCACTATCAATCACGACTATTAGTGACTATTTATACTGATTGATCACTATTTGGTGTGATATTACTATATTTACCATTTCCTAATACTGATCACAATTATTTCAGTAGTAATATCACTATATTTAATCACCATTACTAATCACCATTACCCTCTGGTAAACTAACATAACTATGGACAATCATTATTTTTTAGTAGGTAAATAAACTATAAATTGTCATTTTCAATAGCTATGTAACAAGTTACCAGAGGGTAATCACTGTTATATCCACAAGGTGGTGCCCTCCCAGTTAATAGTTGGTTAACAAAAGCCCCAGTAACTATAGATATAACCCCCATTCATCAACCCTAGTGAAATTGGACTTAAAATAAACCAACTTAGCGATTCCGAACTGGGGCACCACCTTGTAGCTATGTTTATTCATATCTCTTTTAACATAGCCATGGAAAATGGTCCATTTATAGATGATTTTCCCAGCGACATCAACCTCCATTGATTTCAGGGATTTTCCATGGCGAACTGTTAGTCATAACCAGATGGTACCTATTATCAATGGATTGGTTTAAGGACAAAATCCACAGGAAACTCCAGAGATTTTCCCAGAAAAATGCCATGCCAGGATAATCAGACGCCCAATTTTTTTCACTCCAAGGTCAGCCCCACGGTGCCACGCTTTGCCACGACACCATCTTTCCAACAAGTAGATCCTCCAGAGGCAACAGAGACCTTGGGGCATGTGGAAAGTTTAGCGGCTGGGAAGATGACCTGATTTACTGGAAATTGATGGGAGAATCATGGAATTTAATGGGATAATAATTGGATTCAATGAGATAATAATGGGATAATAATGGGATAATAATGGGATTCAATGAGATAATAATGAGATAATAATGGGATAATAATGGGATAATAATGGGATTCAATGAGATAATAATGAGATAATAATGGGATTTACCCTGGGGTAAACAAAGAAAACTGTGGGATACGAATGATTCAATGAGATTATTATAATGGGATTTACGCTGGGGTAAATCCGGGAGTTTTGTTGGCGCTCAACATCGAACTGTTAGTTTACCCTAGGGTACCAGGTACCTTCTACATCTGAGGGAAATGTTGGTGAACGCTAGTCTGTTCATATATCAGGGAATTGTTGATGATTTGTCAGGGATGAATTTACCCAAGGGATGTTCTAATACGAGCTGCTCATCTTCATATCTTTGTCATGAATGCATGATAAATCCAATCGATCGCATAATCTCCAATAGACTATGTATGACTACATGGGTTTGTCTGAAATTAGGTACCCCATATTCCAATGGATTATTATTATCTGCCCATTAAAATTGCTATATTTGGGTATCCTCTATTTTCAGACAAACCTACACAAATGTACTACACGGTGATCATTTCAATGTTACCCGGTCAGATTGGCCCTGGTTTCGCAGCAAAGGTGGGAAAGCAACAATTCCGCTCTGTGAGCTATCACCCAAAAGTGGAAACCGCTTTTCCAAGTGTAATGTCCTCATCCTGAAGCGAAGTTAGCTGGTATGCTGTTTTTTGGGTTATTTGTTTTTAGGTCTATATCCAAATGTAGTCTAACGTATCAGGTTTTAAATCCCATGGTTATATAGCATGTTATAGCCATAAAAACAAACCCAACAACGCACTCCCACTTGGATCAGCTATATATATATACGGTATCTGGGTCCTGCGTCCTGTGCCCCAAATTCCCCAAATCATTGCTAATCTTGGATGCCCCCTGCGAAGAATTAAAGTCTTCGCGGGGAAATGTAGATTCCTATTGAAAATCGAAAAAAAAAAGGCTGTTCCACTAGCCATCCAGTTGGTCGAAAATCGAGAATGTATTTATCGTGTTTGTTTGGTCTATGGGATTAGTTAACAATATCATATATCACATGTAAGTTCGACTCACCAAATCATGAGCCACTAATCACTGAACCACCTCCATCAGCCAAGTATGGGACGGTTGTTGCCCACAATGTTTACCTGGCCCTGTCATGGCCGAGACGCAGTAGAATTGAAGCCCCTTTCCCACGTCCTTGTTGTCCGACAACGCCACCTGGCTGGGCTTTTGAAGTGCGAGGAAACTTGTGGCAAATCATCATATCTGGGCAAAGTATAGT